GATGACCAAGTCCGTGCACTTCATTCCGGTGAGTAATACCTATTCTTCAGACTAGTTGGCTGAGATTTACATCATAGAGATTGTTCGCCTGCACGGTGTGCCAGTTTCCATCATTTCAGGCAGAGGCACGCAGTTTACATCACAGTTTTGGAGAGCCGTGCAGCAAGAGTTAGGCACTCAGGGGAGTTGAGCACTCAGGTGGAGTTGAGCACAAGATTTCACTTTCATATGGACGAACAGTCCGAGCGCACTATTCAGATATTGGAGGACATGCTACGCACTTGTGTCATTGTTTTTAGGGGTTCATGGGACCAGAATCTGCCGCTCGCGGAGTTTGCGTACAACAATAGTTATCAGTCGAGTATTCAGATGGCTCCGTATGAGGCTTTATATCTGAGGCGGTGTATATCTTTGGTGGGTTGGTTTAAGCCGGGCGAGGCTAGGCTATTGGGCACTAACTTTGTTCAGGATTCTTTGGACAAGGTTAATTTGATTCAAGAGTGGTTTCGTACAGCGCAGTCAAGACAAAAGAGTTATGCCGATAGGAAGGTGTGTGATGTTTCTTACATAGTTGGGGAGAAGGTTCTGCTGAAGGTTTCACCCATGAAGGGTGTTATGAGATTCGGGAAGAAGGGAAAGTTGAGCCATCAGTTCATTGGGCCTTTTGAGGTACTTCAGAGGATTAGGGAGGTGGCTTACAAGCTTGTCTTGCCACCTAGCTTGTCGAGTGTGCATCTAGTATTTCATGTTTCTATGCTCCAGAAGTATATCGGCGATCCATCCCATGTTTCGAATTTCAACACGGTTCAGTTAGATGGTGATTTGACTTATGATGTAGAGTCGATGGCTATTTTGGAGCGGCAGGTTCTAAAGTTGAGGTCAAAGGAGATAGCTTCACTAAAAGTGCAGTGGAGAGGTCAGCCCGTAGAGGAGCCTACTTGGAAGATCGAGCGGGAGATACGGAGCAGATATCCACACCTATTTATGGCTCCAGGTATGTTTCTAGACTCGTTCGAGGACGAACGTTTGTTTAAGAGGGGGAGGATGTAACGACCTGGTGGGTCGTTTCGAGAGTTGTTGCCCCGTTCTCCTATTTTCTGCTTCTTTTGTGTTCTAGAGCTGTATTATGACTTATCGGGTTAGTTGGTTTGGGTCCGGAGTGATTTCAGAATGAACTGAGACACTTAGTCTTTTATTTAAAAGCTTAAGTTGGAAAAGTTGATCGCATGTTGACTTATGTGTAAACGACCACGGAATTAAATTCTGATGGTTCTGTTAGCTCCGCTAGGTGATTTTTTCCTTGGGAGCACGTCCGGAATGTGATTTGAAGGTCCGCAATAGAATTAGTCTTAAATTGGTGAAAGTTGGAATTTTTAGAAGTTTGACCGGCAGTGGACTTTTTGATATCGGGTTCAGATTGGATTTCTGGGAGTTTGAATAGGTCAGTGGTGCCATTTATGACTTTTGTGCAAAATTTGAGGTCAATCGGACTTGATTTGATAGGTTTTCACGTCGTTTGTAGAATTCAGAAATTTCGATGTTCATTAGGCTTGAATCCGTGTGTAATTCATGTTTTTGATGTTGTTTGAGGATTTAACTAAGTTCATATGATGTTTTGGGACTTGTTGGTATGTTTGGTTGAGGTCCTGAGGGCCTCGGGTGAGTTTTGGGCGGTTAGCGGATCATAGTTGGCCATTGTGAGATAGTTGATCTGCTGCTGATTTTTTGTTCTGGTTTCCTCTTACGCCTTCGCGAGAGGAGCCTCGTGTTCGCGAAGGGTGCTTTCTGAGTGGGTGAATTCTGTGTTACGCATTCGTGAAGGAGAGGATGCGAATGCAAAGGGTAGGGCGTAAGTGCATCAGGAACACGTGAGTGGTGTCGCATTCGCGAAGAGGAGTGAGGTAGTTCGGGACCCCGGCCTTTTTGTTCTACGCGTTCGCGAGGCATGGGCCGCGTTCGCGAAGGTCTGAGTTGTAAAACATCACGTTCGCGAAGCCCTGGTCGCGTTCGTGAAGAGTAAAATTGAGGGGCAGTCTGAGTTGGCCTACGTGAACCCGAGAGGACGGTCGCGTTCGCGTAGAAGGAAATCTGGGAAAACCCTATTAATTTTAAAAATGAGGGTTTGAACCAATTTTTCATCTCTTGAGCTAGAGATCATGGATTTGGGCGATTCTTGAAGGGATTTTCGTGGAGTTGACTGGGGAAAGTGATTCTTGCTTGGTTTTGACTAAATCCCATGATTTTATCTTTAATTTTATCATCTAATTTTTGATTTGGGGTGAAAATTGGGGAAAAAGAGGAAGTGTTCTTGAGAGGGATTTTTGAGGTTTATGGGATTTTTATCGGATTTGAGTAATTAAGTATAGTTAGACTCGTGAGTGAATGGGATTTCGGGTTTTTTGACTTTTATCGAATTTCGAAACATGGGGCCCGGGTGCCGGGTTTGAGCTGATTTCGGATTTTTGGGTCTAATTTAGGAGTTTTCTTGTGGAATTTATCCCTTTAGCCTATATTGATTGTATTGTACTGTTTATGGCTAGATTCGGGACATTTGGAGATCGATTTGAGAGGCAAAGGCATTATTGAGTAGAGATTTGCTCGGATTGAGGTAAGTAACAGTTATAAATCTTGTCCTGAGGGTATTAAACCCCGGATTTGGTGTCATGTGATTACTTTGGAGGTGACGGACATGCTAGGGGACGGGCGTGTGGGCGTGCACCGAGGGGATTGTGACTTGGTCCGCCCCGTGGATACTGTGAAGTTGAACAACTTACTGTTAGCTTTATGCTCTCTATATGTTAGTACTATTGGGTCCCACAGAGGTCGCGTTACATGTTGAATTGCCTGTTAAATGCTATTTGTACTCAGTCGCAATTTTTACTCGCATATCATGTCTCAGTCTCTGTTATTCTATTTGATGCATCATGTTATTGCTATTTGGGCTGATCTTCCTGATTTCTAGGAGCCTGAGAGACTGAAGAGGTTGATGACTGTGTGAGGCCGAGGGCCTCATTGTGAGGATATTTATGGGATCGGGCTGCACACCGCAACATGTTTCATTGATATTTGTCATGATTGGCTTGATATATAGCGCTTTGGATATAGGATCCCCTCCGAAGTCTATACACACCCCCAGTGAGCGCAGATACCTATTGAGTGCGAGTGCCGAGTTCCGAGTGATCGTGAGGAATGAGTGACTGTGAGGTTGGAGTGAATGGGAGGATTGACTGATGATTGCCTAAGAGGCTGTATATGATTTCATTACTGATGCACACATTTTCCCTATATCATTGTTTTGAAAACTACTAAGAGATATTTTATCCGGTTTTTACTTAAGCTTGACTTAAACAAACTGATTTCACTTAAACTCCGCATTGAAAGCATGCCTACCCTTTACTGAAATTTCTGAGATGAACTGTACTTGTATTGATCGTCACCGCATCTCGATTCCTTATTTATTTATGTTACTTACTATGTTGGTGTACTCACGTTACTCCCTGTGCCTCGTGTGCAGATCCAGGTGTTCTCGGACACAGTGGACATTGATCTCGTGCGTGACTGATTATCGGAGACTCACGAGGTAGTTGTCGGCATTTGCAGTCCTTGTCTCTCCTTTCTTGTTGTCTTTCCTTTCTCTGTAGTGGTATTTTTGGGATACATAATTTTGTAGACAATATTCTGGATTGGTTTCTTAGATGCTCATGACTAGTGACACCCCGATGTCCGGCTATCTTTCCGCACTTATGTTTTGGGTTTATCCCATTTTATGGTAAAACTTCAGTTATTTTTAAATGTCTTAATTTATTTCTAGTTAAATATTGAAAGCGTGTTGGTAATGTAGGATGTCCTAGTACCACGATAGACGCCATCACGACGGGTTCGGTTTTGGGTCGTGTCATACTTATTGTTACAGGGTCATGCCATTAAGTTTGAAGAATACATGGGTAACTTACATGAGGGCCATGACCACCATTTTCCATGACATGATGCACAAAGTGATTGAAGTATATGTCAGTGATTTCATCATAAAGTAAAAGACACAGGCTGATCATGTGCGCGATTTGAACTTCAAACGGTTCCGGAGGCTGATCCTCGGTTTTATAGTCAGCCCCAGAGGCATCGAATTGGATCCATCTAAGATAAAGTCCATTCTAGATCTGACACCCCGGAAGAACTAAATTGAAGTCATGAGTTTGCTCGGGAGGTTGAACTACATCAGTAGGTTCATTGCTCAGTTCACAACCACGTACGAGCTATCTTTAAGTTATTGAAAAGGATTTTGCTGTTAAGTGGACAGACGGTTTCCAAAAGGCTTTTGACAGGATAAAAGATTATTTGCCAAAACCCCCTGTACTGGTCCTACCTGAACCTGGTAGACCTTTGTTTTTATATCTATCGGTGATTAATAATTCCTTTGGATGCGTTCTGGGGCAACATGATGCGACAGGCAAAAAGGAACAGGTAATTTATTATTTGAGCAAGTAGTTCACTAATTATGAGGTTAAGTATACTCTTTTAGAAAGGACATGTTGTTCTTTGACTTGGGTCGCTCAAAAGCTAAGGCATTATATTTTGGCCTGCACTACTTAGCTCATATCTAGAATGGATCCTTTAAAGTACATCTTCCAAAAGCCAATGCCCACTGGCAGGCTCGCAAAATGGTAAATTCTGCTCATAGAGTTCGACATCGTCTATGTCACTCATACCGCAATGAAAGCACATGCTTTGGAAGATCATTTGGCAGAGAATCTAGTTGATGATGATTACGAGCCACTAAGCACATACTTCCCAGACAAAGAGGTCAACTCAATAGAGGAAGTAGTTCTGGACGACAGCCATGTATGGAAAATGTATTTTGATGGGGCTGTTAATATCAAAGGAGTTGGGATCAGGGAAATCCTCATCTCACCTGTTGGACAACATTACCCTGCAACGGCTCGACTTCAGTTGTTCTGTACCATAATACGACAGAATACTAGGCTTGTATCATGGGTCTAAAAATGGCCCTCGATCTGGATGTGCATGAACTATTGTTTGTGGGAGATTCCAACTTGCTTACCCGGAAAGCCCTAGGCGAATGGGAGACTCGAGACACCAAGCTTATTCCATACAGACAATGTGTGCAAGACTTGAACAAAAGATTCAAATCCATCGAGTTCAGGTACATTCCCAGGTTTCACAACGAGCTAGCCGATGCCTTGGCTACCTTAGCTTCGATTCTTCCTTATCCAGGCAACACACATATTGATCGATTAGAAATTCAAGTGCGAAATCAACATGGTTACTACAATACAATTCAGGAAGAACTAGATGGTCAACCATGGTATCATGACATAAAACAATTCCTGAAAACAAGGGAATACCCAGAGCATGCTAAGGGAGATCAAAAAGGAACTATAAGGCGGCTCGCCGGTGGTTTCTTCCTGGATAGGGAAATCCTATAGAAAAGGACCCAGACTTGAACCTGTTGAGATGCATAGATTCCACAGAAGTTAAGCGGATCATGAGTGAAGTGCATTCGGAAGTATGTGAGCCTCACACGAATGGATATGTTTTGGCAAACAAGATTCTGCAGGCAGGGTATTATTGGCTTACTATGGAGCGATATTGCTTCAGTTTTGTTCGCAGGTGTCACCAATGCCAGATTAATTCACTCACCTCCGTCGGAGTTACATCCTGTGTACTCTCCTTAGCCTTTTGTTGCTTAGGCAATGGATGTTATAGGGCCAATCAAGCCAAAGGCTTCAAATGGGCATAGATTCATTTTGGTCGCTATTGATTACTTCACCAAGTGGGTGGAGGTTGTCACTTTCAAAGCAGTCACCAAGAAAGTAGTGGTAGACTTTGTTCATTCCAACATCATCTGTCACTTTTGTATCCCAAAGACAATAATCACTGACAATGCAACCAATCTAAATAGTCATTTGATGAAGGAGGTGTGCGAGCAATTTAAAATTGTTCATTGCCATTCTACCTCTTACTGACCAAAAGCCAATGGAGCCTTTGAAGCGGCAAACAATAACATCAAGAAGATTCTTAGGAAAATGATCCAAGGGTCCAAGCAATGACATGAAAAGTTGCCTTTGGCTCCTTTGGTACATGGAACTGAAGCTGTAATACCGGCTGAAGTCGAAATTCCCTCTCTCCGAATCATTGTGGAATCAGAGATTGAATAAACTAAGTGGGTCTAGACCCGATTAGAACACCTAATGCTGATTGATGAAAAATGGCTAGCAGCAGTGTGTTTTGGCCAGTTATACCAGCAAAGAATAGTACACGATTATAACAAGAAAGTGTGCCCAAGGCACTTTGAGGTAGGCCAGCTCGTTTTGAAGTGCATCCTTCCACACCAGGTAGAAGCTAAAGGAAAGTTCGCCTCGAACTAGCAAGGACCCTACATCATCAAAAAGGTGTTACCAAAAGGGGCTTTACACTTGGTAGATGAATAAGGATGGGTACCAGACATGACTATTAACGCAGATGCAGTAGAAAGATATTATGTTTGATATATACCAACTGCGGAACTTTCACGCATGATTTTCTCAGATCGAGATGAAGAAGGCTATCATTGTTCACTATCCCAAATAGGTGTCACCCTTTTGTTAATCTTGTTCGAGCCATGTTTGTCTTTTTTTTCCCTCTTTTTGAAACCTGTGTACTTGTAAAAAACAAAAACGATAAAAAATAATATAAAAAATATTTTAAAAAAAAAGAAGAAAAAATAAATCTTCTGAGTCATTGAACTACGTTCAACCAGATTCCGAAATGATACGTAGGCAGCACTACCCTGGGTTCGGTCCCATCATAACAAAAATTCCATATCCCCAATACAAAAAAATTGGGGCAGAAGTTTGTTTTACTTTTTACGGTCTTTCTATAAAAATGGTTCCAAAAGTTGTAATTTAGTTCAAGGTTCTTTTTTCGTTTTCCCGTTAAGACCTTCTGATTGATCTCTGAAAATGTTGAAGTCACCATGACAAGGGCGTTGGACAACCTGCCGCATGATGTATCTTAGTCAAGGGGCAACGAAAAAAATGAGAGAGTCTTATCGGTAAAAACCTATATGGGCACCATAAGGCGACGGTGAGTAGAAAATGAGAGAGGTCACTTATCGAAAACCCGCAAAGGGCGCTACTAGCCGAAATAGGGTCTTTGATACTCTGGCATGAGCACAACCAAGAAAGTTTAAAGATGAACGTTTGCGGTATATTTTGAGAATTAGACAGCTTAGACCGATCAAACGTCTAGTCCAAAATGCATGTCATGATTCATTGAAGTCAACACATACCTCCATATAAGTCTCCCTATTCTTTTCTCCGAAAGGGACACCTTTTGTTTAAACACATTTCTTTTTCACTTTTAATTGCTCTTATGTTTTTTACCATAATTTTTCTTTAAGTCCTTTTTGGTCGAAATCTTGCATCAAAAGCGAAGCAAAGAAATGGCTCCAAAACGGGCTATAGTTTCCCCGTAATACCGAGCACAATTTGGGGCATATATGACATTGACAAAGGCATGAATCCATATATGATGTCCTCTGATTAGCTGAACAAAGTGTTTCAAAGAAATCAAAAAGGTCGCTAAGCAAGACTTGCTTCATGGACAAAGCTGATAGTGCCACAGACACAAACTGATATTAGGTGCAAGATAATCAAGTTTTATCTTTAAAAGAAAAAATAGCTACCAAAGAAATGACTTTCTTTGTGGACAAGGGTCAGCAACACTTTAGACATCCGGGTGTGAAATAGTTGGGGGCAAGTCATGTCACGACCCAAACTAATGGGCCGCGACGGGTACCCGGTACCTTACTCAACCGATTTCCAACGTAACGTATCTGTCGTATCATACTATTATAGGTAAATGAGTCGGAGAGGAAGTCATGAGATAAGTACAATAAACATGAGAGAGTACTTCACATAGAATGACCCAAGCTGATATAAAAACTTGCATACGTGTCATACGGGCCTATAAGGCCAACATGATCATTTGTAAATTTAAAACATAGGCCAACAGGGCCATACAAGTATCTGTATACATGACATCTGTCTACAAGCCTCAAAGAGTACATAAGTATCATAAAGGTCGGGACTGCGCCCCGCCATACCAATCAATACATGTCCTAACTATACTAACCAAATAAGCAACTCCGGAGCAAATGGAATGTTCCAATACCTTCCGCTAAGCTGATAGCCTATTTGGAGGGCTCTCAACCTGTCTATCGGAACCTGCGGGCAAGAAACATAGCATCCCCAGGCAAAAGGGACGCCAGTACAAATAATGTACCGAGTATGTAAGAAATGAAAATCAGCAAACAATAGACATGAGAGAAACATGGAGTAAAAGACTCAACATGTAAGTCCGGATAACTATGTAAATCATGAAATACGTATAATGTCATGCATACGCGTATGAATGACATGTCATGCATAGGTACATGTGTTAATAATATCATCAAGCCTCTGAGGGTATCCCATCATATCATCTCAGCCACTGTGGGAAAAATCATCAACGTATACCAGCTGATCAGGTGGTGGTGCGTATATAATGCCGTAACCTTTTCCCATATCCCATATACATATATACGCGTATATAACGCCATCTGGTCATGGGTCAATGTACATGTATAAATGAATGCAATGCATGAGAAGTACGTCAATAAAATCTCTCGGAATGTCATAAGACCATTATGCCTTTGAGTAATATCATGAAGTAAACTTTTTCAACGTACGTATTTTTCTGATACCCATGAACAGAAGATGTAATGATAAGACACATGGGAATTCAAGAACATAGGCACCTCTAATACTTCTATGAATAGAGTCATTTATTGAAGTTGTGCATTTGCTCGTTTCGTGTGTGTCGTATAGATCATGCCAAAAGGAAAGAAGAGATAGCCTTAACATACCTGTGTCGGTTCTCTTTACAATCCCTCTAACACACGATAATCGCGAAAAAATATGTGATAGCAAGACTGGAGTAGGAAAAAATCTGTATGATATTCTTGAGAAAGATTGTACCGGGCTTTTTTTGAATTTGCATTTCAAGTTGGACCTTGTAGGGGTTCATAAGAATCCCTTTAGAGAATTCCATCATCCACTACTAAGTAAATATTGTCATTTCTCTTTAATGATGTAGGAAGATGGTTTCTTTTATCAAAGAGAGTGGGCCCCGCTTTAGGATGACTAAGCCTCTAGATGTGACACCTTGAAATGTGAATTAAGAGTCATATTTTGGTCTTTGATCCTTGTTCCATTTGCTTCCACGTTAATAGGTTAGTCCTTATCCAATAATCATCCACTTAATTCTTAATTAATTTGTTAATCCCCCACTAACCAATAATCACACAATTATTCACATAATTAGGAATTATCTCAAATTACTTAAAATACTACTCACTTTTAACACACTTTGTACACCTTACTATTATGGTCATGTGGTATTATAGCTTGAACCGTATTTTATCTCAAAATGACAAACTTCGACGGAACTCATTTTTTTTATTTGCCTACCCTCTCACCTTCACGAATTTACTTATCACTTGTTTGAAATAGCATAATGCTTAGAACCTCAAAATAATCTCATACCCGAACATACGTCGATTAACTTACGACGAAACTTTAACGTACGAAAATGCGGGATGCAACATCTCATTTTCCGAGCTTCCATCAATTTACTTATGGCGTACCTTCACGTACGAAAATATAGGGTGTAACGCGTCGGAAAGCCAAGGTCTCCAGAAAGCGATACAGAGTATTTGAGAACTTCGGTACCACACTGATAGAATCAATTCTTCGACAGCGAAGTGATCGTGAATTTAAACTACTCAAGGCATCAAGACCATAAGCCGACCACCATTTGGAAAACACAATTTTTTCTTTGTTTGAAGCAGGAACACATCAATGCAAAATGGCGATTCTCAAAGCATGAACGTCACCAAAGATAAGTTCCTCAAAATCTCCATTTTCATTTACTTTCAGCATGCATCACTACTGTTCATACTTCCCGTTTTCCATAGCTTAACTCGGGTAGAACCTTTTCACCTAGTGGGATTCTGCTAATATTTTTGGGTATCGCTAAAGCTGTTTTACGTAGCTTAACTCGGGTAGAACCTTTCGCCTAGGGGATCCAGCTCATATTCTCGGTAGAAGTATTATTCGCTCAAGTTGTTATGTAGCTTAACTCAGGTAGAACCTTTTCGATTAGGGGGATCCAGCTTATATTTTCGGGTAGAAGTATTCTTCGCTTAGGTTGTTTTATGTAGCTTAACTCAGGTAGAACCTTTTTGCCTACGGGGATCCATCTCATATTTCTGGGTAGAAGTACTCTTCGCTCAGGCTGTTTTACATAGCTTAACTCAGGTAGAAACTTTTTTCCTAGGAGGATCCAGCTTATATCCCGGGTAGAAGTACTATCGCTCAGGCTGTTTTACATAGCTTAACTCGGG